CAGGGAGGAGGGGGAGGAGCTGTTCGAAAGGAAGGGGAAAGAAGGGGAGGAAAAAGTGATGCAGGTTGGGTGGAGGTCGTAGGGAGGGTCCGAATGAGGCGAAGCCCGTGCGGGAAGGGGGGGGAGCGTGGGGGGGAGAGAAGAGAATGCGAGCCACGTGCTCCATCCCAGCAAATAAAGGAGAAGGGAGCACGTGCGCACCCATCCCACGTCGAATTCGCTTTACATGCTGCAGGCAAGCTGATGGCTCGGACATCGGGGAGTACCCTGTCGATCCGTTCCCCCATCGATTTCGGGAGGGAGAAGACTTACCGCGCTTGGCTCGACAAAGCAGAAGGGACAGCGAGGCGCGGGGCCAGAAAGGCGGAGGTACTTGCCATGCCCAGAGCAAAGAAGGTAAAGAGGAGTTTCATGTTGACGGCGTAAAGGGGGCGACCGAAGAGAAGTCTGTGTGCAAGACGTGGAGAGATGGGAGAGCGAGTTAGCAGAAGGGAGAGCTTTTGGGGTAACATACAGAGCGGATTGCGCGTCCCGTGAAATAAAGCTTAATAATCAATATACATACATACAATAACGCCCCAACAGCACCAAAGCCACCATGTGCGGGCGCTTCCACGGCCCTTAATTTGTTTTTTTTAAACCAAGCCACATAAATGAACGACGCATGCGTCGCCGGGGTTGGACCGTCCAGCCGACGTCGTCTTTTCCCGGCTTAGAAACTTGCACTTCCTCGCACACCGCCCCAGGACAACGTCAGGGACGGTCACACATGTGAGAGGCTCTTTATCCTGTGGTCGTAGCTTCCGTCACAGCGTGGCGGCGGCCCCGCATCAAGGAAAGGGGGGAACTGATCCAGACGGCCTCGCCTGTGACGATCCCGGCGACGGGGAGAGCGTGATGCTGGGGTCATAAAATGCCGTGTGAGTCCTTGAAGATGAGGCGTTGCACCTTCACTGATTGCCTTTACAGATTCGAGCATATCGTGCATGATCCGAAGGCACTCATGCGCGGACGCATTGTTGTGAGCAATGCCCTTGAAAGCAGATTTTGGTCGACGCGACGGGCTTGTGGTGGGGTTCTGCCTCGGAGGCCCAAGCCCCGGTGCTGGTAGGGGGGACGCGTTGACTCCTTCTTCTGTCCAAGGAGACGGTGGCAGGTTGCTCGCGGGCAAGCACACTTTCTGGAAAGAATGGCTACTCTTGCATGGGGCATGTCGACTGGGAGACAGGCAAACGGAAGTCCTGGCGCCAGACTCGTGGTAATCCAGAGAGAACTTTCCCTCCTCACTCCCATTCTTCCCTGGATCACGCAGCGCCGCAGTAGGAGAGGACAGGGGCGCATGAGGAGAGGACTGCGGGTACCAAGGGGATAAGGAGAGCGTGAAAAGCCTGAGAGCATGCAGCGGGGTCGCTCGGGCTCGTTGGACTTGTTTGCGGAGAATAGCCACCTTTCCCCGGGCCGTGGGGGCGGAGGGGGTTCGCCCCTGTCGCATGGAGGCCGTTC